CAAAAAAAAAAAAAAAGATATTGTGAAATAAAAAGGCAATAAAATATGTTTTAGTGACTCATTTCTATTTTATCAGCTTTGAACCATTTTAAAATCCTCACTCTCCTGGTCATTCTTCCATAGGAATGGTACTCAGACTTCAGAATGCATGATACTAATCATCATATAAACATGTTTACGGCAGATTCCTGGGCCCTGCCTTTAGATTTAGTAGGTTTGGAAGGATTCCATGATTCTAATGCAGGTGATCCGTGAACACAGTGCTCTCACCTCTGGTGTTGTACCTGGCTTTGCCAGTAACAGGACAACATTGGACATGGGTCTCTGCCTCTACTGTCTGAGCACACCAAAAATTCCCAGGCAGAGATGGGTTTCAGCGGAAGGGCAGATATATCATTGTTTAGCCACCACTGGAGTCTGCCCTCTGCCATGTAACTTAATAAAGATCCCATAGCCTTAGGAATGAGGTATAAGGTCACAGTCAGTGATAGTAAGCCCAGTTCAAATGGCTGAGGACAAGACTCTTGAATTTGCCTTTAGAACATTTTTAAATATTCAACTGTCTTGCCGTCCTTCTGCCCCACTGGTCAAAGTTTGCAGAGCCTCTTCTTTGTTCATTAATAGAAACCACAAAAACAAAGGTAATATTAACCCTTTATATTTCATAGTGGGATAAGAGACTCATTGAATTTCAGGACCAGAAGAAATCATCAAGATTGTCTCATTCAACCCAAGGGCTAGAAAGTAGATAATGTGGTGACAGGGCAGAGTCCTTACTCTGAGTGCAGGGTTTGCTGATAGAACTTTGCAAAATCGTTTCATGGCTATGCATCATTAATCTATCTGTTTTATCTGTGCCTCTGCCTCAGAACAAAACTCAAAATATTCCCTAGAAGACAAATAATCAGACACAACCAACCAAACTCCACTCTATCTGACTTGTAGGATGGTCTGCGGGCTGACAATCGCCTGGGACTAGACCTGCACAGACTCTATCTTATCCATGGTAGAAGGCGCATACCCAGCCCCTGGAGCAAACCTGTCTTCTCTATACTAAATAATCATGAACTGAAATGAATCATAACAATAACCAAAAAAGCAATGCTGACAATAAAAGTTATCTTTTGTTGAATGTGATACAGATAATTTTTTTTTTACTTTACACAAAGTAAAAAATTAAAAATAAGATATTACAGCAAAAATAACGATTGATATTTTTTCATTGCATTCACATATATGTACATTTTGAGACAGAGTCTTGCTCTGTCGCCCAGGCTGGAATGCAGTGGTGCAATTTTGGCTCACTGCAACCTCCTCCTCCTGTGTTCAAGTGATTCTCGTGCCTTAGCCTCCAGAGCAGCTATGACTACAGGCACATGCCACCATGCCCAGCTAATTTTTGTATTTTTAATACAGACAGGGTTTTGCCTTGTTACCCAGGCTGGTCTCAAATCCTGGCCTTAAGTGATCTGCCTGCCTCGGCCTCCCAAAGTGCTAAGATTAAGGGCATGAGCCACACGCCTTGTCTGCGTTAATGTATTTTTAAAGGGAAAAAACCTTAGACCTATATAATGGCCTGTATAGAAAGAATAATGTTATAATTAAATAACAAATAACAAGAGAATTTTAAATGACTAAATGTCAATTTTAAGAATGTCACTCAAAATATTTCATATATGAATAAAAATTTGCCCTACCTAACAAAAATAGTATACCTTACAGTTTCACTGTTTTAAATTCTAAACACAAACCCAAAAACTCCAAGGAACCATACAGATGACAGAAGTGAAGCAAGTAAGGTTCTGTTTCTTATCTTTGCAATCCCGGTGCTATAATTGTTTCTTTTGACTCTGCAGTGTAAATGCAGGAATATGTGCATCCCAGGGGTTAGAGGCACAAACTACCCCTGAAGGAAGCTGGAATGACTTTGATCTGTTACAAATTCTTCTCCAAAGAAAGCGTGCTGCTGGGTCAGTGTGTGGGGCAGTGGTGGGAGGGGAAGAGGAATAAGCATTCCCTGTATAACTAGGAATTCTCTCAATTGACTTCCATGTAGAATATAATTACTAAATGATAATTGATGAAATTATGTAAATTTGAAGGTTAGGTGTATGTTAATCAAACTCAGAAGTAATTTCCGCAATTATTTGGAACTCAGACCAACAAAAGATATTTTCAGAGTGATAAGTATTTTATCATTGGCTTTGTCTAGAATTGCCAGACCATGCTAATCATTAAAAGCAGACTACATTTTAGGATTCTACAAAGGGCCTGTAGCTAACTGTTATACTTATTAGGGAAAGACTGAATACTTCTCCCTAAAAGAGTGGACAGACAAGGATACCGTCTCTCATCAATTCTGTTTGATATTGTACTCGAAGTTCTAACCATGGCAAAAAAGGCATGAAAAAGAAAGAAAAGGCACAGATATTGGACAAGAAAATAATAAAAGCATCTTTTTCACAGATAACATTTTTATGTTAGAAAATCCTAAGGAATCTAAGGAGGAAAAAAACGGTACTAGAATGAAACAGTTGAATTTAGCAAGGTCATAGGATACAAGGTGAATGCATAAACTCAATTGTATTACTATACACCAGTAATGGACATTTGAAAAATAAAATAAAAGATACAATTTCATGTACAATGCTGTCAAAAAATATGACATGGGTAAATGTAACAAAGTTTATGTAAGATCTGTACACTGAAAACTATAAAACATTCCTAAAAAATTGAATAAGACCTAATTAAATGGAGGCACAAATCATGTGCATGGATCTGAAGATCCAGTATTGTTAAGATGGAAATTCTCCCCAAATTGGCTCACATATTGAAGATAATCCCTGTCAAAAATCCAGCAGATCTTTTTTAAAACTTGACAAGCTGATTCTAAACTCTATATGGAAATTAAAATGATTTAGAATAACCAAAGCAATTTTAATACTTTCTAT